CCGATTTTTACTTTGTCCCTGAGCTTAAGAACAATTTACTAAGCTTAGGACAACTCCAAGAAAAGGGGTTAGCAATTTTAATTAAAAAGGGCACTTGCAAAGTATTTCACCCAGATAAAGGATTAATTATGCACACTCAAAAAAACTTCAGGTAATTCATGCCGATATTTGTGGTCCTAACACACCATCCTCAAATAGTAATAAGAGGTACATCTTAAACTTTATTGATGATTTTTCTTGTAAAACTTGGATCTATTTCTTACATAAAAAATCATAAGCATTTGATGTGTTCAAAAAGTTCAAAGCTTGTGTTGAAAAAGAAATTGGTGCATTCATCACTTGCTTAAGGGTAAATAGAGGTGATGAATTTACCTCTAAGGAGTTTGAAGATTTTTGTAAGGATCAAGGAATTTTTAGGCAATTGACGGCTGCCTATACTCCTCAACAAAATGGAGTTGTCAAAAGGAAAAGCAAGACGATCATGAATGTAATAAGGACAGTACTAAACGAGAGACAAGTTCCAAAAGTATTTTGGCCTAAAGTAGTTAGATGGTGTGTACACGTACAAAATAGAAGTCCAACTTTAATAGTAGAACAGAGAACCCTAGAAGAAACATAGAGTGGTGTAAAGCCAAGAGTTGTCTATTTTCGGATCTTTGGATGCGTAGCTCATGCTCATATACCAGACCAAAAGAGAAACAAGCTAGACAACAAAAGCAAAAGGTGTGTATTTTTGGGAGTTAGTGATGAATCTAAAGCTTACAAATTATTTGATCCTATTGCAAAGAAAGTCATTGTGAGCAGAGATGTAATTTTTGAAGAAGACAAGAGTTGGGATTGGAAAAGAACTAAAGAAAAATACAAAGTTGATGTTCTAGACTGGGAAGAAAAAGAAAATAGTGATGACCAAGAACCTACACAAAATGAAGAAGCAGACAGTGGTAATATCAAACAAAGTGCATCCTCAAGCAGTTCAAGTGAGATCAGGCCACCAAAAAATGAAGAAAATGATGGTGAACAAGAATTTCCAGTTGAAGGGAGAACAACAAGGAATAGAAGAAAACTAGTTTGGATGGTAGATTATGAAGAGGAAACAAACTTATCTAAGGAAGAAAAAAGCTTAATTGCGATGATGATGGCTAAAAATGGAAGTGATCTTGTAATATCCATTTTTTTTAATTATTATTTATTAATGACATTTTCGTAAATTTTTATAAAGGTATAGGGTGTTTTGGTAATTTGGAACGGGCTATTCCAAAAGCGGAACGGGCCGTTCCAAGCACAAAAAATGAACTAGGTTTAAAATTGAGAACGGGCCGAGAACGAGCCGTTCCAAAAGGAGAACGGGCCGTTCTGGATGAGTCCCGGAACGGGCCGTTCCGGTTCTAAAATTTACGTAGATTTTTCAGGCCCAGAACGGGCTTTCCGCTTTCGCAACGGGTCGTTCCGGGTTAGGTAAGCAGAATTCTATAAATAGGGGGATGGGGGTTGGAAAATTGGGGATTGGAGACGAGACCTTAGAGAGAGAAAGAGGAGAGAGAGAGAGAAAGAAAGGAAGAGGAGGGGAAAGAAAAGAGGAGAGAGAGGAAGAGAAATCCAGAGAACGAGGTTCTACCTTAGTTTCGGTTCCTGTTTAAGAAAGAGAGGAGGAGGTTCTGCCCTAGTTTCGATTCTTGTTTATTCAAGTAAGGATAGTACTTATAAGACTTAATCTAGTATGTATGAGCATGATAGGGGTAGTATAATTTTTAATATGCTATTTTGTTTATATGAAGATTGTCATGTGTTTAAGTTAATGGTTGTTTTAGGTGTTTAATTATTTATGTTATTATATTGAATGATTTGGCATGGTTATGGAAAATTTTGTATGTAATTATGGAATATGCTATATGTGTGTGGTTTGGAAAGCTAATAGAACTCAGAGGAGTAAGGTTATGGTATGGATTAGATCTCTTGGTGAGATCAGGATATAATCTTTGGAAAAATATGGAATTAGGAGTCCCATGGTGAGGATTCCAATATGGAACTTTTCCAAAGGTTATACAATAAACCACTTCAGATGTTAGGTGGATTCTGAAGTACTCCTCTAAGTATTCTATTTGCTACCGGTATGGGGGCAAGGCCGAGTCATACCGATGGATGAAGTGGCCACGATCACCAGGGTTACGTGACGACGTAATCCAACTGTATATTTTCCATGAGAGGTTAGGTGTGTGACATGGGTTGATGACATGTTTCACCGAATCAACACTTGGTTTGGATGTGTTGAGGCCAACATTTGGTTTGGATGTGTTGGTTACATCATGGATTATATAGTGGTGTGACTTTGTTTTGGATGTGGAATATGTATACATATGGTATGGATTGTATACATTGGTTATGGATTCTTTATTATCATAAAATATGTATGCATTGGCATGGATGTGTATACATTAGATTCTGGATTGGTTTATATTTGGCATGGAAATAACTGTTTATAATGTTCATTTCTTTGGTATGGATACATACTGTTGAAAATATCTAGTTTAATGATATTCTATTTTATTGTACTATGGTTGGTTTTATATGTGCTAACCTTTATATTTCCATGATGTGGACTGTGATGATCTCACTATGTGGGGGAGCAGATCAGGTGTGAGGCTTTGCGATAACAAGAAGTCTTTTTGGGTAACTGCTTTAAGAGGTGGTTAGACTTAGAGCTTGACCAGCACCTAGGGTGTCTCATTTTGATACTTTCATAATATTGTAATTATATTATCTTTTTGGATTATTGTATAATCATTACTGAGGATGATGACTCTGCTATAAAAATATGTTATATATGTTGGAAACAATTTATATATTATTGTATATTTACACTCTAGCGTAGCTGGTCCTTGCTCTATTTTCTTTATTATATATTATTTTATTTTGGTTGGTTTTGCATGTGACGGCTTAGGGTGGGTCGTTACAGATCTGCATTCCTTCGAAGAAGCATCCAAAAGCATGAAGTGGAGAGAAGCAATGAATATGGAAATAAAGGCAATTGAAAAGAACAAGACGTGGGAACTAACTGATGCCCCAAAAGGAGTTAAGCCTATTGGAGTTAAATGGATTTTCAAAACCAAGCTCAATGAAAGTCAAAATATTGAAAAGTATAAGTCAAGATTGGTGGCAAAAGGATATGCATAACGATATGGAGTGGATTATATGGAAGTATTTGCACCAGTAGCAAGACTTGACACTATGCAGGTACTATTAGCTTTGGCGGCTCAATGTGGATGGGAAGTGTTTCAACTTAATGTAAAAAGTGTTTTTCTTCACGTGGAGCTCAAAGAAGAAGTATTTGTACAACAACTTGAAGGATTTGTCAAAAAAGGAAAAGAAGATAAAGTCTACAAGTTGAAGAAAGCATTATACGACCTTAAGCAAGCACCGCGAGCTTGGTAGAACCATATTTTGCAAAGGAAAATTTCAAAAGGTGCTCTAGTGAACACACTTTGTTCACCAAGAAAAATGAAGGTAACATTTTGATAGTTAGCCTTCATGTTGATGATTTGATCTTTACTAGAAATAATAGAAGCATGTGTGAGAAATTCAAAAGTTCAATGATGCTAGAGTTTGACATGTCCGACTTGGGAAGGATGAGACATTTTCTTGGAATAGAGGTGATACAAAGTGATGCTGGGATTTCTATTTGTCAAAGAAGATATGCTCGAGAAGTTTTAGCAAGGTTTAACATGGCAGACAATAATCCAGTAAGGAATCCAATAGTAAGAGAGGATTATGATCAAAATGAGCTCTTTGAAGCACTTCCACCATTGCCTCAAGAAAACCTTACCTCTAAAAATGATCACAAAGAGCTTAATCGAGCTTTTTGTGAACAGGATTCATGTTAGACACCTTATGCCAAGTGAAATGAGACCCAATATGGTCTAAACCACACCCTACCAACAACTGGTTGATTCAACTAAATTTTCACACAAACCCACACACCTTACCAACAACTAGTTGATTCGACTCAATTAATTTTCACACCATTAATACATTATGATTATAATATTCCAAGACTTGAAAATGTGATTCAAACCAAGGTCTTGTTAAATTCACCTTAACATAACAAAATTCATAACTCATTTATGAATTGCTAATGATTAAACATCATCCAAGATCCTCTAGAGAACCCATGACCAGTATCCATTGCGTATCCCCCTTATAATCTCCACACCCATTTCAATCTCTCATTCATGGTTACATAGCTAACTAATTTCCCCAACAACTTCACAATAACAACTTCTACCCAAGGTGCTGTAAGATTTTGCACAACACTTTCATTTATGTAACACTGTGGCTTAAAACAATTTCCTTCCTCAAACTCAATTGGGAATACATTTTGTCTAATAAGATTCATTTTCACATTCCTAAATATAGATACTGTATTCTTCATCAACTTATCACTAAAAGACATGGGTTTAGAAATCTCATTATCTGTGCTTGTTTGGATTATTATTTAAAATGATGTAAAAGAAAATTCTCTCGTTCTAAAACAGAAAAATGAGAAGTAACAATTTGTTATTTTCATGTTTAATGACTGTTTAAGAATTTTTGACGATAAACTAATCACACTACTAGGTGCAGTAGTCTTGGTGGAAAACATAAAATTTTCCCACCAAAGGATTCTTCACATTCTTCATCACTAACTATTCTAATTTAATATATAAATTGAACTAAATTATGATTAAAGCTTGTACTAATTATTCTTTTATTATCAGGTGATACAAATAATTTTTATTTATTCATTATTTTTAAAAATATTAAAATACTCTTGTTAATAAAAAATAACTAAAAATATTTTCAATTAAAAATGATCTTTAAAATTACTCTCGTTAAATAAAATTATTAATTTATATAAAAAATTAATATTTATCAACATTATCAATGGTAGATATAATTCAAATTTAATTTATAAATAAACGGACCAATTTACCCTCAGTAACATTGTAATTTTACGTCTAATATCTGTTGCAATTGCCATTGGTTTCGAGGCTTCACGTTTTTCACTCTTTTTCTGCCATCTCTCTTACGCTTGTTTCATTTTCCGGCAAATCTTAGCTTCACTTCGCGGAGTTCAAGCTTTTGTGTTCCAGGTCTCTTTCTATCTTTTATGGGTTCGATGAACCATTTTTTTTTTTAAAATTTTTAATTTTTAATTTTTTTTTACGTAGTATTCGTGGACTGTGGTTGATGTTGCGGTGAATGATTGTGCGTGTATAAATCACTTTTTAGTTTCTAATTGTTTGGATTTTGTTTATTTCATCATATCCGCACTTGCTTTTGAGGATTTTTGTGATTTTGAGAATGGAGCATTAGGTTAATAAACTTACGATCTACATGTAAACACTCGATTTTTTTTTCCCACTGTCTAAAATCCCCTTCTCCGATCTCTTTCGGTCTTAATTTTGCAGATTCAATTGATCTCGCACCAGGTATTTCCGTTTTCTTTTACTTAATTGCAATTTGTTTCCGATTCTATCAGTTTGATTTTTTCTATTCATTCCTTGATTGCACGCGCTATGCTCTTTTTATTTTATTTTATTTTTAAAATTTCTGGAATATTGCAATGATTTTTGATTCTGTGTTTCTTGTAGATTTGGATCTTTATTTTTATGGTGCTAGTTAGATAGTCTGGTCAAGCAGAAGGAAGATTATTAGGAATTGACCTTAATTTGATTTGATTTGATTCAGCAATGGCTGCTCCTGTGGCAGTAACATACCATAGCCACCTCCCCCTAATTACATCCCTGTTATTAGGGGGACTTCCGATGCACTAGCTGATAATATGCACAATTTGAAGCTTAATCTGTCTCCTATGACCTCAAATCCTGTTTCTAGACCTCCCCCCTGCATTATGCTTCTTTGGCCCCTTGGCTGGGGTTCCACACCACCATTGTGGTTCTTATAATTTTTAATTCAATTATGATTAACTTTAGCACAGGAAAAATATGTTAATAAGTGACTTACTACTGTTATTTAATTTCTATTATTTCTATTTTATTTTTTAAGCAAAATATATAGAGGTATAATGTGCTTCTTTTCCACTAGTTTGCTTAATGCTTATGGTTGATGTGAAATCATAGTGCTAATGGTGTTACAAAAATATTTCCACTTATTTTTATTTGCAACAGTCTTTTATTTGTAAGATGGGGATGTTGAGTTCCTTTCCATGTTATCTTTGTTCACGACTGTAATCGTTGGAAGAGCTAGTTCTAAATAACTTCTTTCTGTAATTCATATGAATTTAACTCTTTTAATACTCTTTTGTAGCAACTGCTTTTTGTTGCAGGTTGCCTTTGACTGTTTTTGTTTTCACTCTTTTGTTTTCTCTTTTATGACTTTTTTATGTTCATTGTCCAATCACTGCACATTGTCCTAAATAAGTTGTTACAACATGAATTCATGCGTTTTATCTTCTGGGAAGTAATGAAGTTAATAAGTGTGTCACTCTTTTATTTCTTAGTTCTTGTATTAATATCCTGATTGATGTCATTGATAGCAAACTAATCAGGAGTATTACTTTTGCTGCTCGTCTTCCAGTTTTGATGATGTGGGATACTGAATACTGATGTTTCATGTTTTCTTTATATGTTTATTTTATGTTATGCCAAGGGTAGAAAGGGAGCTTAATGTTATAAATTCATTCATAACGACATATTGTATTAAAATGGTAAAAATGAAATGAAGTCAGTTCTATTTTAATAAACAGCAACCATAAGAAATGACATATAGGATTTGATTTCTAAATCAATTCAACTCAGTTCTATTATTTATTTTCTAAATCAAATCATTTTGCTTATCAAATTCCTACCATGTCCTAATGGATTTAGTTATGGAGGAGCAATTCATACTTCGTGTTCCACCTAATGTGGCAGAGCGGATAGAGCGTCTTCTGAATGAAAGCAATCCTTCTTCGTCTGAAGACAAGTCATTAGATTTGTCATTTAGTGAGGATGGAAGAAGCGGTACATTTGTGATTGGGAATGAACACTTCCCAGCTTCTCTATTGGACCTTCCTTGCGTTGTTGAATCTTATAAGACTTATGATGATAACTCTTTGATTAAGACTGCGGATGTTGGTCAGGTTAGGTATCCATCATTATTTACATAGTTCATTCATTCTTAATCATACTCTCAGATTCATATATAACTATAAATATAACTGCTTACTGAATCCAACTAACAGATGATTATGGTGAGGGAATCTGGTGATGCTGCTCCAGATGTAATTGAGTACAGACATGGCCTCACCCCACCCATGAGAGATGCTCGCAAGCGTCGATTTCGCAGGGAGCCTGATCTTAATGTATTATATTTATTTGCATATCATTGACATTAACATGCCTCTCTGCCTATGTGTATCTGTGCTCTCATAGTAACCTTTTATATTTTCAGCCTGAGCTTGTCTCTCGAGTTGAGAAAGATCTTCTCAAAATCATGGCTAGAGGAACTGCTGACAATCTTGATATCCTTAAATCATTGTTTGTGTCAAACAATTTAGTAAAATTTTCAATTCTTAAATACAAACATATGATTCTACTTTGAATTTTTATCTTTAAAAGGGACAGTAGTTATTTTGATCATTGTTGTTGCTTTTTTCTTTTTCCCCTTTTACTCCTTCCTTTCCTCACTTATAGACATGGGGTTCATGGGATAAACTAGAGTAGCAATTTGCATAAGTGACATTGTCATTAGCTAGTTTGTTGCCTTCTTGATAGTGGAAGCAATCTTAATTTTGAATATTTCCTTGACTGAGATTCACATGTAGAAGCAGCTGAGCAAGAAGAAGGCGATGAGAATGCCCGAGGCACTAACAAAAAACCTGCACCAAAGCCTGCACCAAAACATGATGCTCCAGAGAATCTTGCTAATGCAGGGGAACCTGACAGGAGTGATTCTGAGGAATCTGATGACTCAGTCTGACCGAAATTAACTACAAAGGATATTTATACAACAATGATGAAATGAAAGCATCTATAGTATAAACTTTGGCAGTTAAATTTGAATTTCACCCACCCGAGATCACCTACAGTGGATTTGCTGTTCCCCATCGTGCATTTGACTAGCTAAGTGTTTTGTACTAAACATTGATCGTTAATCTTTGAGGTCCTAAATTTCCCCTGGATATATGAGAATCAGGGTGAGCATGTGTTTATATGAAGCCATTTTGTTTTTCTTATCTAGGGCAGCATGGAGGATATGAAATTAGATGCAATGATGAAATGAAAGCTTGTATAGTATAAAATTTTGCAGTTTAGGGTGAATTCCATCCACATAAAGAAAATAAATAATAGAAGCTCACATTTAGGTTATGCCCATTGATAGAAACCCACATAAACCCACATTTAAGTGAGTCAATCCTTTTCACTCAAGCTTTTCAATCGACTCAGATCGTAATTGAAAATGCGCGTTTAAATAAAATATGCGGTTATGTACTCAAGTGTTGTAAGAAGTTGCAAAAGATATTGTGGAGAAAGTAAAGTAGAAATAACACTTCTCCTTACACATGACAAATTAACTACATTTGTATGTGACGAACACAATAGCAATGAATTCTCGAAGGCCCCATATCCCGTTTGGTCTTCTCCAGCTAAAGCACTGAATTCCTGCAACTACCTACCTAGAGAATATAAACTACAATGATCCCAAATACACCATACAAGATGGCATGTAGATCTGAAGAAAATTTTTTGACCAAAAAGAACAATTTATGAAATTGCAATCTAAATTAGTTTCGACCTTTGGGTCATGACAACACCATAGCAAAAAATACACTAATAGACGACATCAAATACTGAAGGGTGGACACGTGCAGGTTCCAACTACCTCCAACAGGACTTACAGGTCCAGGTCCAAATCCAAGTGCTGTAGAAGATGAACTCCTTCCACCAATGCTTGAGTTTGCACTGTTATCAAAATATTTAAGGATCAAATTAGATTTGAAAACATAAATACTTGCAATACTAATTCATAATTGATGTGCATAGAGTCATGTTCTCACCTTCCCGCATATATACAGGACCCATAACCTGCAATGCAGCAAAATATCCATCATTAATTGCTTAACTCTTCAATTCCTCAACAGAGGGCACGATAATACTCTTGGTAAAAACTTTAGTGAAAAACACATTCCCAGTTTTTACTAGAAAAATCTTTGAAAGAGTCCATCAATATTTTCTACCCCTTTTGGTTATCATCTGTAAATTATACAAGGAAAATGCTGATCCATACGAAAATTATTTTCATCAAATACATGAAACCGAAATTTCTTAGCCTTTAACAATTTTTATCTCCCTTAAAATGACTTTCCTTCCTCTATTTTATACTCCTTTGCCTTTTGATTGATTGAAAATCATTTGTAATATCAAAAAATAATTATACCAAATAGGGTAGCCGATTAGGACAACCAAGCTTATCAATGTCAGGTTGCAATAAGAAAAAAAAAATTCTAGGAACACATGCTTATATACAAGGTTTTAAATCACGGTCCAAAACTACAATTGAGGCCACAAAATCAAGGACTTTGTGGTCTCCTAAACTTCATTGCCTATGTAATTGTAGCTACATTTATCTGCCTTTTTGTGTAATGTAGAAGTTTAAAACTATGCATCTATGATACTGCAATATAAAACCTTGGTTACATATGGTTGGAAATAAAAGTAACTTCCTATGAAATTGGAAATAAAACAGAAAAGAAGAAGGCACACGGACTTACTAGGATCCTCGGTAGTAGTTATAGCTGTACCATCAAAGTCACATGTTCCACCAGCATTATGCATTTTTTGATAATAATCATTATAAGCATAAGATGCATGGCTTTTCAGGTTATTGGGGGAATAGCATGGTCTTCCTTGTTGAATAGCTACACAGTTAGCTTGGCCTTGTCCACAAGCCCAGTTCAAGCCAGCTTCCAATTTATCAGTGTCTGCATCATCTTTAGCCACACAAAAAGACCCCAGAGAATTTCCATTACTCATGTTGGAAGCACCAAAACTCAAAGAATACACACTACTTCCATTAGTATAAAAAACACCCCAATTCTTTTCAGATATAGGACCTTTCCTCTTGTCCTCATTAAATAATTCATATAGGTAGGTGTTAATGGCCATCTTTGGCTGACTAGGGGGACCTGAACCATTGAGTACTCTCACAATTAAATTATTATTATAGGTCTCAGCATTATTTGTAGTAGCATCTGGTTCATATGTTCCACCAAAACTTGGCCAACCAGTCTCTGTGACAACAACAGGTATATCATTGAAATTGAAGGCTTCTATAGCATAATAGGTAGCGTCCACCATAGCCTCAAACATGCTATTATAATGGAATAGTGTGTTTGGATCAACAATTTGCTTCACTGGAGAAAGGGGTCTGAATAGAGCATATTCAATAGGGAAAATGCCATCTCCTTTAGTGTATCCATAGTAAGGGTAGGCATTTAACATGTAAGAGGAATTTGTGTTCTTCAAAAACTGAAGGAGTTGGTAGATTGTGGAGTTCCATGAAGAGTTAAAGGTGGCTGTAGAAGGAGGAAAAGGCCTAGAAATTATGTCCATGGACTGTGGTGTTGAAACCTTAACCCTAAAGTTAAGGTTTGAAGCAACTAGTGCTTTGTGAAGGTGGTTCATGGCAGGAACCAGAACAGGTGCAACATTTGGAACTGAGGTGAGAACCTCACTGCCAACTGATAATGCTGTGATGTTTGTGGATGGCATATAAGCAGCCACATTCTTACTAATCCATGCTGCAGCAACTGATGCAGATTCTCCAATGCCAAGTATCTCTTCATCTGTGACACCAACAATTATCTCAATGCCAGTGTTTGAAAGGGCTTGTAGCATGTGCTCATTGGCATTATACAGACGCACGTGTCTAATTTGATGTGCTTTTAGAATTGCAACCACGTTTGAAGCAGATGGCAGATCAGTAACATCAGTGCCAATATTCACCCCCACAAATGCACCTACATCATAAGAGTTTCAAAAATGTGATGCAACATTCATTAAGCGTATATTTGGATAAACTACTCTAAAAGTACTTCTAAGAGAGAAAAATGGAAAGAAAAAATAAAATAAACTTCTCTATAAACTAATTTGTAGAAGTTTTTTTCTATTAACTTCTCTAAAATCTTTTTTTAACTGACATAAGCTAGTTCTAACTTAAAAACTTATTCTTATTTTTCTTCCAATTTTTCTCTCCTTAAATAGCTTCTGAATAAGCTTATCCACACAGACCTTAAGAGAACATGATACACATTATTCAAGTATCTCTTCCTTGTAATTGCATCTACTTATTCCTTCTCCTAACCTAGTTGTTGAAACAACTAAGCAGAAAAAAGTACCATGGATATTGTCAACATTTATGTAAGAAAATCAAAGGTTTTCAACTTATTAAAATCATTGATTCTAACTATCAACTGAATCAGATAGTTATTTTTTAATTTATGGATATGGTCCACAGAGTATCCTAAAACTAATAATCAAAAATTAATCTGGGTTCGTAGAACATAGCTTCCACTTTGAATCAGATGATTTAGTAGATGAACAAGCAAACCATAAAATAAAAAAGTGAAAATGTGATTTACCAACTGCATTGCTCACTGTGGCAACAATGAGGAATGAAACACACGTGAGCCACCTTTTAAGCTTCATCCTCTCCAATAGCTGCCAGGCAAAGCCTTAACAATGAAGGCTTCAGCAATAAAAAGAAATCACATCTTTAACAACTAAAATGGGTAACTAACAAATATATAACAGTTGCAAAGGTCAAGAGTTTAACAAGCAATGCAAGTTGAAGAAGTATAGATGAGAACACAAATATTTGTAAGGAAAAAGATCAAATGCTCGTGTTTGTTATTGTATTATATAACCTACTTTCCATTAATGAACAAGTTTTACTATTTACCATTTTTTGCCTTTTCATGTAGAAATCAAAACATGGGTGTATAAGGCAAATTGTTAATACCTCATCTAACTTGTCAAAAGTGAATGTGATGGATCAGAGGAAGTGGAAATGGAAGCTTCACTTGATAACAGTTTTGGAGTTGAGTTGGGTTTGGGTTGTGAATGTCCTTCTCCTTTCAACACTTCATTTGAGAATTTAGACTTAATGTTATGCCTTCCTTTACCATTGTTTTTGCTTTCCAATCCCAAAAGTCATTCATTCATTTTATCTTCTTTTGTTCTGCAATCATGTTCATAAGTCAGTCACAAATCACAGTGCTCATACCAAAACTAAAAAGGAGCCGAAAGGTCAAAGACGCGTTACTATATTTTATCATTGTTACCACTGTTTGTTCACAAGCTAAGCTATTCAATGAATGGGATTTGAAAAGCTCAAGGAGTTCGTAAGATGAGAAATGACAAACAAAAACGTATAATTTTCTTAAGAAATGTATAAATTAATTTGTAAAATGTTGTATAAACAAAAATTGAATAACTTCAATTTTGTGTGTATATTTCTCCATCATTTCATTTATTTTAAAGAAATATTATTAATAACGAAGAGAGATACATAAAAAAAAAAATAACAATGTCGTCAGTGTAACATCTACGGTAACAAAAATGTACAATATTATTTTTTATTTATCATTTTTCATCATTAATAATATATCTGTTTATATAAAGATAAATACAAAAGTGATGTTATATAAATTTTTGTATAATTTTTATTATATATGTAATATTACTAATTTTATTATATTATTTAGTTTTGTTATTATCTGTTAAAATTTATTAAAAATAAAAAAGTTAAAACTTATTTCTTTTATAAAAAAAAACAAAACTTAAATACAATATCATTTTATTATTAGTAGTATTTTCAATCAAAATTAGCATTTTAGTTTGAAAATGTATATTAACACTTTAATGCAATTATTTACGGTACACATTATCGTAAAATTATTTTAAATGGATAATAAGATAATCAACGATATATATATATATATATATATATATATATATATATATATATA